GATTACTCAGCTTGGGTTAATGACACATACATATTATAAATACATGTACCACACTGCATCATCACATGACTCAATTTATATTCATGGTACTAACACCACAATAAAAGGTCATAGGTCATATGATGAGAGAAACCAGACAATTTGAAGTTATCACATGCAATCCTGAAATTGATATGGAGAATCTGAAACTGACTTGCAGGGAGAAAGTCACACAAGTCATACTACAAGCAGTAGTAGTATAGGCGTGTAGTGTAATACATATATACCTTCAGTTTTTATAGAGACAGTATATCCATGAGATGTGTCATCTTCAACATGTATTCTATAATAGTATATAGTCTGGGATTGTAATCCAGGATCCTTGTAAGAACCAGTCTTAGCCTTCACAGTTTTGATTGGAATCCAGTTAAGTTTATCGTCAGATCTCTCAATAATTCCTGATGTCGCTTTACCCAGGTCGCACTCAATAGATACACAACCAGATTTCACATCTAATTTGGTGATGACAGATTGGCAATCTTCTCCTGAAAAAAAACAAATACAGAAAATTACAGCAAATAAGATGGATGGTAGGTTTATGTAAACACTGCTGCTAACCAAAAATTATAAATATATATGTATAGTTGTTAGAAGAAAAGTTCTTCTTCTTGATTTATTGGAATAAAAAATTACTAAAACTATTTTAAAACTATAAAAGTTTCATTTTAACTGTCTGTAATTGTAAATATCAATCAAAACAAAATACTCACCTGAAGATTCCCAGAAGGACCAATCAGACATATACATTTGGCTGAACTCAAAGCATCTATCTTTACTACGGTCAACACAACCATCATCCCTATCCTTTCCATCAGGTGTAATCTTTAATACATCATGTTTATCACATGGACACTTCAAACATGGTGTGTATGATAGACCAGGGTTATATCGCTTGATAAGGATATTCATGTTGTCCTCCACATACTCTCTTACTTCTGGACCATAGGATGACTGTAATTCCACAGCTATGCTTCCTGCCGGTTCTGTCTTCACTGTAAGCGTGATGTCAGATTCTCTCTTTGACAGGATGAGGATATGCTTCCCTCCAATATCAAACCAGGCATCATTATAGAATAACTTGGCTGTTTGCCACTTCTTGATGCATCTAATGACTAGCTGGTGGAAAAACCCATCTGGTAAATATTTTCGAGGAAAGTGGAGGTATAGAGTAGGACCTGATGTACTATTTGAGGGAGACAGGAAACCATTTTCTGGTTCTGATTTAAGAAGGCATGCCATGTAGTATTCGGTGACCTCTGACCCTGATTGTGGGGAACATGGGTAAATGATATCATACTGTTGAAATAGTCGAAGTAGGATGTCTTTATCTTCTAGTCTGTTGTTCTTCTTTAGGACCCATTCTACCAATTGGACATCAAGTTTCCCGTGAGTGGTTAACTTGTCATACAGATCGCTAATCAATGTGTCGAGAGCCTCCTTCTGCTCATCAGGGAGTTCTGGTATGTGAGTGATGAAAAGTCTCAACAAGTCAATGAACCACTGTGGACTGATGATGACATCATTACGAAGGTCAGGATCATCTGCAAAGTGTAGGATATCACGAATGCTGTGGAAAAATTTCAGCACGTCATCAACTTCCTGTTTAGATAAAGACATAGATTCACCAACCTCATAGACCTCAGCCAATTTCATTACTGGGCGGAGAGTCTCTTCAACCACCTTTTGATTTAGTAGAAGCTCGAACTGCAACCAGTTAAATGAAACTTCATAACTGAGTTGACAAACAAGCTCCTTTATCTTATCTTTGAGAGACTGCAAAGCATCATTTGGGTTACCGCCTGGTGAAGGTGACTGCGAAAGATCACTTGGGTTACCAGTAGGTGAAGGTGACTGCATAGGTTTGTTGCTGATAGGAATTATTGGCCATGCAATGTGTACAGCAGCTTCCATACTCCTCAAGAAAGCTTCTAGTTCCCTTTTTCGTTGCTCCATTGTTTTCTGAAACATATCATTTGAAAACAAATCATAAATTCATGATATTGTAATTTGTAACACCAGGAACAATTCATGTTTGATTACAAAGAAATGACAATTAAATGTCAACAGTGCTGTTAGGATAATGTGAAGTGTCTGGGCAGACAGATTAGATCCACACAACAATATGATTCTTCTATTTGTTACTTACAAGAGATATGTTCACAAACATAAAGAAGAA